GTATGAATAATTATAAAATGTGTAAATTACACTAAATTAATATTGAGTTGATTTTCTTTTAACTAATATAATTAAAGATAAATTTATAAGATACACAATAAAAGCCATATCTCATATCAATTTTCTTTCCATTGTATCATAAAATTAATTATTTTACTTGATAATATAAAGATTTAAACCTTCCACACCTACATCAATTTTTTTTTTTTTTTTTATCTTTCCTTTCATACCAAAATTTAATAACAGGGAAATAAAATAAGTAACGGTTTCGTAGTCTAAACTCCTTCGCAGAAACATTGACCAGCCAACAACAGGCCAGTTTTCACTTGCCAATAGAGAAGAAAAAAAAAAGGGCAGCTCCCAACCGCTTGACTGGCGTATTCTTCAAGTTCAAAACTTGAAACAAACAAAACATCAAAGAAGGAAAAAACAGAACCTTCCCGTTCTTTTTCTTTTTCCTTTTACTTTTCCATATTCAAATCCCAATCTTTCGATTTCTACGAACCCTCTTCATCTTCTTTCTTTCTTCTTCTCTTACCTTCTTTGAAGTTCTCGTCTTTACTTGTTTAGTAGTCCTTTTGTTGGGTTCTTTTTCTTTGCAACAAAACCAAAGGGGTGCAGGAGCTGCAGGAGAAGAAAACAAGAACCCAGGTTTGTTTCTGTCTTCATAATTTATGTGTGATTCATTTTTTGCATGCATCTGTTGGGTTTCTTGGTTACTCTTTCCCTAATAATGTTAGTTGTTGTTGCTCATCTTTTTCTTGCATTTTCTTTTCTCCTCTGTTTCTGACTCTTCCCTTGTATTTTCTTCTTCTTTTTTGATAATCAGAGCTGAATTTTCAACTTTTTGGTGCGTATGGGTTTAGGGTTTAAGAGGGTTTTGCCAGGTGTGGATGGAAACTGGTAAGTTTATAGGCTTAAAGTTCCTTCCAATTCTTAAAGATCAGTCTAGGTAATTTATGGTATATGATTCCTTTGTTATTGATTGCCTTTTGTGATTAAATTGTAATCTCATCAATGGTGTGAAATAGGAAAGGACTGTTTTACTGCCCCTGAATTTTCTTAATTTACTTTCTAAACAATGCTCGGTCAAAGCTTTTGCCTTCCATCTATTATTTTATATATTCTGTACTC